TGACTCTGTGGGTCCTCCAGGCCTGCCTCCCGATCAATCAGCTCCAGCAGTGCCCAGGGCTGGTCAGCCCATCCGAATCCATGATGCTCCCTTGCAGAGCTTGTGGGGCCAAGCCCGAGTTACGTTACCCTCAGGATCCTGCTCCAGAGCCATGTTCCTGAGTCATGTTCACCCCTACACATGCGCGCACGCAGACACACAGACACACCACACACACACACACCACACACACACTCACACACCACACACACACACACACTCACACACACCACACACACACACACACACACACACACTCACACACACCACACACACACACACTCACACACCACACACACACACCACACACCACACACACACTCACACACCACACACACACTGGAGATTTTCTGGACAATGTGTTATTGTTGCTTGTGTCTTCTTTCCCTAATCTGGCCCCACACTTCCAGGTGCCCAGCCTTCCGGATAGGACCACACGGTATCCATCATCTTGTCCCTTTATTACATGAATGGCTCTCATCTTTTCATTCAGTTTATCCAACAACTATAGAGACCCCTAGCAAGACCTAGTCTACCCTCCTTCCTCACCCCTGTACCGAGCACTGCGGGGCCCTGGCTGTGGACTTTACAGAAGACAGGCTGTAAGATTCAGGGTGAAAGAGACAGGTTTCCCCTACCTACTTCCAGTTCCTCCCTCTCGGGGAAGATCTGTGGGGAGGCAAAGTTTGAGACCCAGAAGCACTGGAAATGAGGAGGCACCCTGGGGCCAGGCGTCAGGTGAGCAACACAAAGGGACCGCCTCCCCTGGCTACAGGACAGCTGAAGAGGGACCCTCATGGACAGGCTGTCCAGAGTCATTCCTGGACCTTCCGGAAGCCACTGTGGTCCAGCGTTTCTCGCTGCTGTCATAGTTCACGCTGAGTCTGTCACCAGCTGTGGGTGATCTGCTAGCCCTTCCGTCTCTATGAGCCTGTCCCCTGGAGAATGTCAGAGCACGCGCGTGCCTCAGTGCTGCCAGAAAACTGTGTGAGGAAATCCAGGCAGGGTGTCTGGTGACGAGAGGCCCTGTGAAGTGTAACTCTCCGGCTGCTGATAGTTTTATAGTTTTTGTTGTTGTTGTGGTTTTTTTTGTTTTGTTTTGTTTTTTGTTTTTTGTTTTTTATGATCAGGAAGGAGAAGAGTAGGTGTTCTGGAATCTTCAGTCACCGTCCCTCAAATACCTACACCAGAGTTCACCTCTCCAGAAGCATGTGAGTTCTCCCTGAAATCTTAATTCCTAGTATTCTGCTGTCTAGAGAAGCTTTAAATCAAAGTTAGCTGTGTCTGGAAAGGGCTGTCTGGGACCGGCTTCTGTCAGCTAAGGCCCAAATGTCCCCGAAGGCTCTGGAGAAACAGCTTTGTGTTTGGATAGAGGACAGGAAACCCAAAGGAAAAATTTCCTCTTCTAAAAAGAAAGCCCATGAGCGAACAAACTTCACCCTGCCACACACTTGCACACCTCCAAACCCAACATTGCTGGCTCTCCTCACACACCCAGGTCCCTCAGCGGATGGAGACTGGGGAAGACCCTGTTCACACCCATGGCTCTCAGCTGGACCTAGTGCTCCAAAGGAAACCACAGCTGTAATCTATTAGCATCTCTTCAGCCTTAAGAAGCTCCACACCAACAGCTGCTGGCTGTACAGGCCGGCCCAGTGCCTTCTCTGTGGCTTTTAAGACCTTAACGCCATGTTGTGCCCAGTGCCCCCCCACGATCTCTCTGGGCCTCCTGCCTTCCACCTGTCTGTGCACTGTTAGCAAACTCCAGGACTTAGAAGAAATCAGGGATGAGACTCAGCCCCTGTGCTCATGGGCTTTTAAAACCTCTCGAATGCACCTTCCTAACCCTTCCAGAAGCTTTGAAAGCAGAGCAAAAACCATTCCTGTTTTAGAGAGGAGAAAGGGAGAGTTGGTCTAAGGCCAGTACTGGCCTTAGCTCTTCAGATGGTCTCTCCCCTCTCCACAAGGGCCAACCTGCCCCTATTACAGAGGTATATGTAGGCAGATAAGGGTAGATAGAGGGTGTATTGCTGGGCCAGGACTTCATTCTGCATAAGTGATTGGCAGTGGGTGGAGTGACGAGGAGCACAAATAGATTCACAGCGAAACTAGGAATACAGGAGGAGGGAGTCACTCCATCCTATGGCCTCTATGTGGAGACGAGTTTTAATTCTCAAAGCTAGCCAAAGAAACAGCATTCATGATCCATTGTGGCATTTCTGTTTCCTAGCCAAGTCTCTAACCTCCTTGGTCCTCAGTCTTCTTTCTAAGCATACCCGTATGCTCAAATGCACACACTCAGGACACGTTAAATCATATCAGGTGATAAAGCATGAGATGTGCTGGGGGCAGTCTCAGGCATATAGCAAGTTTTCAACAAATGGCAGCTATCATTATTCTACTCAAAGAGTTGCGGAACTGAGGCAGCATCCCTGGAAGATCTCAAAAAAAAAATGTGTCTGGCTGGGCTACAGGAGGAGCAGGGCAAAGAGGTTCCAAGGCTTGGAGAAGATGGGGATGGATTTGTGCAGGAGCAGCTCTCAGCTCAGAGGCAAGCAGCCGGATTGCTCCAGTCTAGGTCTAGAAGGTCCCCAAATGGCTGTATTCTAAAGACTTGACTCTGGAATGGTACTACTGGTAGAACCCTTTCATGCTCTCAGAGGAGACCTATCTCTCTATTGCTGCCTGGCCATGAGGAGTTTAGCTGTGTCTCGATACCCCAGCTGCCATGCTAGGCTAACGCAGCGCAGACCAAAGCAACAGGGACAGTCACCCGTGGACCAGAGCCTCCAAAACAGTGAGCCCAAATGAATACTTCCTCTTTTAAACAAATCGTCTCAGGTGTCTCTCCTAGTGAGCGAAGACTGATTGACCCAGCCATCACACCGGCAGCTCACCTGAACTCAGGAAGCCGAAGACCCCCACTCTGTGATCGGCAGTGACTACAATGAAGCTGCCAACTGCAGCCAGGATGGAGCCATCGATGGTCAGCTGTCCTCCGCTGCCGTCCATCTCCATGGTGTTGTGGAAGAACACCAGAACGGATGCATTGGAGACCTGAAGGGGTTGGAGGGATGGGAGAGGTTGACGTTGAGCTTGAGGGAGGGGCAGTCGCCGTTTGTGAAACCGGACTCTGAGCCCTCCCGCCAGCTCTGCCTTGGCACACACTTAACCTTATCCAAGGGGCTGAATTTTGTCCTTCCAATTCATACCCTGACACCTTAGCTCAGGGAGTGATCACACTTGGAGACTGTGGTCCCATATGTGAACTCTGCTCCCATAGGAACAGTGTCCTTTTAGGGAGAAGGGACTCGCACACAAGGGAAGGTACCAAGTGTAAGCCAAGAAGATGGGCAATGGGGGAAACCATTGATCTTGGACTTCAAGATTCCAGGTTGTGAGAAAAGAAACTATGTGTGGCTCAAGCTGTCTGACCATGGAAGCCTGTGATGTCAGCCCTAATGGGTTACTGTGCCCCGTTTCACAGGTAGGAAAATGGAGGCTCACAGAGGTATGGAGGGTGTGCTAATGTTTCAAGGTGAGTAGGGGTAGGAACAAGACTCAGGTTAGACTCTGAGCTCCCCTTCCTCCAGCCACTCAGCCCCCACACAGCAATAGCTCCTTAAGCAGATAAAGAAGGAATCATGTTCAAGGTTATAGCCTAATACTTCTTCTCATGCATCTCACATAGAAAGAGCCTGAGACCCCTTGTTCACTTTCGGCTCTCATAAGGGGAGCTTGGTGCCTCTAAGGATATTGCTGTAGGAGCACAGATTCCATAGAGCCCAGGAAAGTTGGGAGCAGGATTGCTAAAGGGAGTTAGTCACCAGACGACATAAGTATTTCTAAACTCACCAGGTTCTCGGGAACAAACACATTAAGATACAAGCAGTCTTCACTGATTTGAGGAGGCGCTGGGGTACGGGCACCTGGCTGCCAGCAACTGGCCCTGAAGAGAAGAAGTGAGGCATGGGACCTTCAGAGAAATCTCAAAGGGACCTGCCCCCTTTCCCTCTCCTCCATACCCACCACTCATGGACAGTCAAAGGCCTCGTTTTGCTGTAGCTTTGGAGCAGTGTGGAAGCTCCAAGTCATGGGTACGGCCAGAGAATAGGAAGAGCAACAACATGTCTATGACCTCCTCTGGCTACTGGACTGTGGGAAAACCTGCCACTTAGAGGTATAAGCACTAACCAGAGGACCAAGGCCAGGGAAGGAGACTGGGAGCTGTCAAGGCCTCGGCCTTCCCTTGAGATATTTCATGGACTCTGCCCCGGGAAGAGGTGTCAGACAAACCTTCTGTACCAGGGAAGAGGACTGGGTGTCAGTCTGACTGCCCCCTTGTACAAGAGCTCCATCTGGGCCCCCCCCCCAATGGCCACACAAGGATTATCTACCTGAGGCCATTTGGTCTCATCCTCTAATTGTTACCGATCATGGGCTACAATGACTGAACTCTGTACCCACTGTCTACTCAAGATCTGAATGGCCACCTACCTCTTCTGTCCCTTGGGGTCTGGGTGATAAGCTGTGGTGATATTTTGTTTATGATCTAATAAAAAGCTTGCCTGAAGATCAGAAAAGCAAAGTAGCCAATCACTAGAGAGTTGTCCCCTCTACCAAGGCTGGGTAATACTGTCCTCAGCGTGACTGCAGACTGAGACCCTGAGCTCCTGTCTCCTACTGTCTTGTATTCCTCTCTAGTGCTGGGATTAAAGGCGTGCACCACCACTGCCTGGCCTGTATGGCTGATGGTGTGGCTAGCTGTGCACTGTGATCTTCAGGCAAGCTTTATTTGCTAGATCATAGACAAAATACCACCACAATAAGCTCAGAAGAGACAGGGGAGGAGAAACAGAACTCCTTACACTGTTCTAGAGTATTCCCTTTCTTTGGTCCCATCATCTTTCCTATCATGTTGCATTTTCAATCCCATCATGTTAAATGTCTGACCAGACACGGCAACACACATGTAGACCCAGTTACTCTGAAAGGCTGAGGGTTAGAAGATCTCAAGTTCTAAACCAGCCTCTGACTCCATGGTGAGGCCCTATCACAGAAAGACAGACAGAAAAAATGAAGGATGAGAGGGAGGTAAGAAGGTGAAGAAAGAAAACTAGAGAAAGCTCCTTGAAGAAGCCAGATGCTGCTGGCTTTGACAACCACGAGACTGCTGGGAAGCACATGGCCAGCTCATGCCTGACCCTATGAGCCTCCTACAGATGCTCCCACAGCCTCGTGCTCCTGGACACAAGCGCCCAAGGGGAATTTGGAAGAGTCATGCTGCTAAATGCAGCTCCTCCTTGGCCTGGGTTCCAGAGTCCTGCCTGGACCAGAACACACAGGCTTTCACCAGACAGCCTACCTGTGAGCCAAGCAGCACTGACCCACTGAAGCTGGGCACCTGTGCCAGCCAGCACTGGTGCTATTTAACAGCATGCAGTCCCATTTCCCGTTCTAACCAGAGCGCCTGGCCCTGCCACGACAGATTAGACCAGGATAGGCATTCTTTGGCCAATTCACCAAAGTGGTGCCACTTAATCCATACCTTGGTTTGGTGGCGTCCCAGGAGCCCGTCCAATTCAAGGGCGCTGGTGGTCCAAAGCGATTGTCTCCCAAGGGTGGGGCAGCATAGGGAACGCCAAGGAACTGGTAGACCTGCTTCCAAGAAGTGCCCACCTGGACGACCTGGGACCCACCCTGAAGCTGGCCGAAGGGGTCAATGCGTACGGAAGGAGCGGATGCTGCATCAGAGAGGAGCAGAGGGATTCCTGGGGGGAAGGGAAGGCCAGAGAGGCAGACAAGGACAGTGAGAAGTGGCATTCCAGCTGGCTTTCGGGAAGAAAACAAATAGCACTGCAGTTTGAGGCAGCTAGGAAAATGTCATGGGCCCATTCGCAGCCATATTTAAGAATTAGCCAAGGTTAGCCCACTGTGGATAGGAATAGTAGGAGCTGCTCCATGTGGCATAAAGCAGGAGTGAGGGCAAACGGGTTCACGAACTCTCTCCTGCACTTTTCCAATGCTCGTGAGGAGAAGGGGTTAGCCCAGGCCCACACTGCACATCACACACCCCGGAACCTAGAAAGGGGACACTTGGCATCAGCTGGCAGTCTGGAGTAGAACCCGCTGTCGACCCTTCTTTTAGTCTCTTACTCCCGCGTTGGCACGTCTGAATCATTCATACTGAGAGAAGGACAAAGGCGTTTCTCTTGTCGTGCCAGCACAGATTGGGGACAAGTGAGTCTGCCCTTGGTTTATTTTAACTCCCGGGTCACTTTTCCTCTCTCAGTCTTGTAGCTGAAGGGCTTACAGTCCTGGGGTGATGGGGGATGCTGGATTCCCGTCTCTCCTTTCTTCCCTTGCCCAAGCCTGGTCTGCACTGCCCCTTCCTATTGGCTAATCACTCCAGCCCTCCTCTGCCGGGCCTTCCCCGCTGGGGTGTGCGTCCCAAGTCTTGGTTCACAATGTTACAGCTGGTGCTGCTTGGGCCCGCTCAGTGCACCAGAGGTCCTCCAAAGCCCTCCCCCCACACACTAATCACTGCTGTACCGGGGCTACCTGTCTTGTTTCTCCTCTTGCCTCTCTTCCCTGGGCATACATTGAAAATGATCTCTGAATTATTTATTTATATCGAGTGCTGGGGGGTGGAACCCAGGACCGTGTGTATGCTAGGCAAGACCCTACTACTAAGCCATAGCTCTAGCCCTGAATGACTTTCAAACTCAACTGAATTGAGAATAGTTCCCTCTGAGCACGAGTCTGAGGCGGAGGGTGGCACTGGGACACAGATCTGTCCCTAGGTTCCCCCTTCTGCCATCACCTGACCTCCCCGTGTCACAGAGTGCTGAGCTCCAGCAAGAGGAGAAGATGCCAGGCCTGCAGGCAAAATAAGGCATGGACAAGAGCTTTCTAAACCATGCAGTGTTAACAAAACACATTTAATTATTATCTTATGCAATTCAAAGGCCCAAATAGTTTCTGTGATTCAAAGAATAAATGCGCAAAAAGTGGGGATTTCTCCAACCTCCGCCATTGCACCCAGAAGAATGATACCAAGCCAGAAACCTTTGGTCAAGTCTCCCTTAAGAGTTTCAAAGTCACCAAATGAATATCCTTCCCAGCCATCCCTAGCTCCCACACCGGGGATGGCTTCAGAGGCCCAGTCTGACTCACCAGACTTCCGGTAGATGTGCGCAGCCTCTTCACGGAGCAGAAGCCTGCAGGTCTGGCTCTGTAGGCTGTGCGTGCAGCTCTGTGTATCAGGATAGAACACACACCTCACACCCCCAGGCTGGATCTGCAGGGTGGTGACAAGGCAGGCCTGGTGGCGGGAGCATTCTGGAGAACAGAAGGGGGGTGGGCTCAGAGCTATAATCTCATTCACGAAGCCATGTATTGCTACATGCATGCACACATCCATCTACCCATGTGCCCATCTATCCATGCGCTGATCCATCCATGTACCTTACCATGCATGCATCCAGTCATCCATCCTATGCATTCATCCAGAAAGTCAGCTGTCATCCATCCATCCTATCAAATCACACACCCACCAATGCATGTGTGCATCCTCCGATCTATCTACTTCTTTACCCACTGTAGAAGATCTCATGCATAAATTCTGTGCATCGTGGCTGAGAATGAAACCCAACCCACCATCAAGATATTTTACACAAAATGGTCATGTTTTTATTGCTTAATTATCTCATAAATGTGTTCTCTTTTCATCCCTTGCTTAAAGGTATTTCCACCGCTTCACACAGCTTCCTACGGGCTTCAGGTGCAGAACAACCCTCTGTGTTCCATCTCCTGATACCCTCCTCAGGTCTGTTACCTTTGGCCTCCTCTAAGTTTTCCTTAACCTGTGACAGAACTGTGCCTTTTCCTGTGCAAGCCTGTGCTGTCCGATACAATTTAACCTACTTCCTGACACAGGGTGCTGAGAAGAGCTCTGGGAAATGGGGCAGCTCTCTGGACTGTCTGAGCTATGTGTGCTGTGTCTTTTATTCAAAGTCCAGTTTCTGAGGGACACTGTCCAGGGCTGTGGAGTACACGACTTGCCATCTGCACTTGGCAGCACAGTCTTTGTGATAAATGTCCTGTCATGTGGACACGGTGAACCCCAGCATTTGTATATCTTGAAAGGGTTCAGAATATCAGGGTGCAAATGTCAGCTGAACCCAGTCACTCTTAGGGAGGGAACCCTTTGTGGGACCTTAGAATTGTGTGGTCACCTTGTTACTAAGTTACCTTAGAATTGACAATTTATGCTGGAGAGGATGTGGTGAAAGGGGGACACTCCTCCATTGCTGGTGGGAGTACCAACTGGTTCAGCCACTTTGGAAATCAGTGTGGAGATTCCTCAGAAAAATGGGAATAAACCTACCACAAGACCCAGCAACTCCACTCTTAGGCATATATCCAAAAGATGCCCATTCATACAACAAAGAGGTCTGTTCCACTATGTTCATAGCAGCTTTATTTGTAATTGCCAGAACTTGGAAGCAACCTAGATGTCCCTCACCCGAAGAGTGGATAGAGAAAATGTGGTACATCTGCACAATGGAGTACTATTCAGCAGAAAAAAATAATGGAATCATGAGATTCGCAGGCAAATGGATGACACTAGAAGAAACCATCCTGAGTGAGGTAACCCAGTCACAAAAAGAGAAACATGGCATGTACTCTCTCATATATGGATTTTAGACATAGATCTGGGGAGTGCCAGCCTACAATCCTATGGCCAGAGAGTCTGGGAAACAGAAACTTTATTTAGTGGCTGATCGAAGAAGAGGCAGACTCCCTTGGTTAAGTACTGAGCTGAACTCAAGAAAGCCAGTAACAGAGAGGGAGGACTGATGATCAAAGGGATTAAGACTGGGCTGGTTTAACCCCCAGAAACAGCTGACCAGACAAAGGTTAACTCTTGAATCCCAGGCATTAGCCTGGGAAGCCAGCATGGGACTGATCAAGACCCCCTGAATCTGGGTGTCAGTGAAGAGGCCTAGGGAATCTATTGAGCCTTGGGCAGCAGATCAGTACCCATCCCGAGTATACACACGGACTTTGGACTCCAATAGAACAATGTGAGGTGCACTCTCACCCAGAACTCTTGGGAAAGGGTCTAGGCCCTGCCCTATATGAAATGACACACTATGGACACCCCCATGGAGGGCTTCACCCTCCCTGGAGAAATGAGAGGATAACGGGGGGGGGGGGGGAGGGCACGGGAGGAAGGGAGGGAATGGGAGAGGGACCTGGAACTGACTTGTGAAGCAACCTTGATTCTTATCTAAATTTAAACTGGAAAATAAAATTAAAAAAAAAAAAGAATTGTGTGGTCACCTCCTTACTAAGTTTCACATCACCGAAGCCTGTAAACCCCAGATAAAGGTGCAACTGGAGTTGACTGTGCTGACTAGCACGCTCCAAATGGCTTTAAAAGCATCTCTTAAAATTTAGTGTTTACTCCTAGTTCGTGGCCTAGTCCCCTGCGCACACTTCGTCACCATGGCAGCCCCTGTGCTGTCTAAGGGTGCCATCTGGCTCCATGTACCCGGTTTGTTCTCACCCACACCTTCTTCTGCCTGCTGATATCCCTCCATGCGGCTCAAGGCCCTCACGGCTGTCTGGCTGTTGCAAACTCTGACCGTAGGCTGCCTAGTGAGGAGTGGAGAGATGCTCACACATTCCCCTTTGTTGGTGGTTTCCTGTAAAGTGCTCCCAGGCCATCATGGAATTTCTCGTCTATGGTTGGTTGGTATCTAGAGCAGCTGGTACTTGGCTGAGGCCCTTCTGTACCCTCTATTTGGGGATGTCTCACCCTGCAAGCAGAAGTCCCGGGCCACAGAGAAGTTACTGGTGGCTGCAGAGCTGATATGGGCAACATCAAAGTGCTTGATGGATGGGTCTACAGTCACTGAGGAGAGGGGCAGAGCCTGCCAGGCGTTCAGAGCAACTGCAGGACAAAAGAGGACACAATCATATGTGGTTGTCACCGGGTACAGAATGAAGACCGTGCAGACCACCCCAAAAGCTACCCAGCGGCCTCTGTGAGGCTTCCATGCGTGACCCTATACCTTCGTCCTTTCTACTGTGTGACCCTGTACCTTCGTCTTTTCTACTGTGTGGTGCTGTACCTCTGTCCTTTCTACTGTGTGATGACCCTGTACCTCTGTCCTTTCTACTGTGTGACCCTGTACCTCTGTCTGTAAGTGGTACAGTCTCTGGGCTCAAGTCTAAGGTTTCAAAGTTTGAAAATTAGACAAACATCATACAACAAGCATGTCTGTTCCACTGTGTTCATAGCAGCATTATTTGTAATAGCCAGGACCTGGAAGCAACCTAGATGCCCCTCAACTGAAGAGTGGATAGAGAAAATGTGGTACATTTACACAATGGAATATTACTCAGTGGAAAAAAACAATGGAATCTTGAAATTTGCAGGCAAATGGATGGCACTAGAAGAAACCATCCTGAGTGAGGTAACCCAGTCACAAAAAGAGAAACATGGTATGCAGTCACTCATATATGGATTTTAGACATGGATCAGGGGAGTGCCAACCAACAATCCCACTGCCAGAGAGTCTGGGAAACAGAACCTGCATCCAGTGACTGATGAAAGTAGAGGCTGAATTCAAGGAACCCAGTGTCAGAAAGAGAGAACTGATGGGCAAAGGAGCTAAGACTGGGCTGGTTTAACCCACAGAAACAGCTGACCTGAACAAGGGGGAACTAATGGACTCCAGAGTGATGGCTGTGTGGAAAGCATGGGACTGATCCAGACACCCTGAATGTGGGTGTCAGTGAGGAGGCCTAGGCAATCTATGGGGCCTTGGGTAGAAAATCAGTATTTATTCCTCACACACAAATGGACTTTGGGTGCCCATCCCACAATGAGGGTTGCTCTCTCAGCCTGGAATCTTGGGAGAGGGCCTAGGCCCTGCCCTGGATGAAATGACAGACTCTGGAGATCCTCCATGGGGGGGGCTCACCCTCCCTGGGGATCAGAGTGGAGATTGGGTGGAGGGGCAGAGAAGAAGGGGAGGGAGAGGGAGCTGGGATTGAAATGTGAATCAAGCTTGTTTCTAATTTAAATTAAAAAATCATTAAATGAAAGAAAATTAGACAAATGAAGGCATGTCTGTGTCTACAAACTAAGACAAAAGAGGAGGGGGAAGTAGAGACAACGAGGAAGCAGTGACATAGGGACAAAATGGAGGACAGAATGCCACAAAGACAGCCGTAAGAATGAAGTGCCAGGCACTCCATTGATATTACACCCACTTATCTTTCTGAGCCCATGGCTCTCCGTAGGGGCACCATGGTGGACTATCTATGGCCCCTATAGAAACGAAGCTCTCATGCCCACTTAGTATCTGGTATCCCAACTAAGTAACTCTACCACTGACCCTCATCTAAAGGAGCTGGCTCCTTCCCCAGGGACAGCGTGTATCTAGAAGCTAATCCACACAGACAGACCTGTGGTCTGCCCTGACCACGAACGTGGCTGACCCAGCTGTTGCTCTCAGAGAGGTGGGCCGGGCCACTGTTTGACTCTTTGTCATAAGCATCTTCTTCTCAGTCCTGAGAAGTCCTGCCCCTTCTCCCTGTGGTCTTGACCCCTACAGTGCTCCATGTGCAAACATGGCCAAACACTCTGTTTAAGGATCACCTCATGCTAAGTGTCCATCTCACAGTCTGTTTCCTGGAAGACACGGTCGTGGCGCCTGCTTTTAATCATAGAGAAAATGAGATCCAGGGATAATGACATGTCTTGCCGGTGTGTGGAGACTCTGTCTTCGCAGCTACAGAGCCTGTGTCTGACCATGGCTATCTCCCAATGCCCCCCAAGTTCTGCACAGGGTACATGGTACAAGGATCAGAGACAGTGAGCTAGCAGCCAAGCAGAATGCTTGGGTTTGGACAGACAGGTCTGTAGGAGTCTGTCTCATTGGCACCAAGGTTGGGAGTAAAGGTAGGCCATGGGAGACCAGTTGAGCGCTGGGATGAGAACGCCTCTCTGAGGAAGGACTGTACCTATAGGTCAGTGTTCAGAAATAACTTTAAAGAGGCCAGAAGCTGCCCCACCCTGGTATGGGCTGTGTGAGCATTCAAGGCTGCTGACTCTAGAAAAGCCTGGCCCATCAGGGGCAGTACTGAGGATTAGTCCAGAGAACCATTCCCTCCCTCCCTGTGTCTCTTTGCTTCAGAAGACCACAGCGGTGTATTGCTCTTATAAATACCTGTGAGTGTGGACCTCGGGCTAGCAGAGAACACTGATGGTCTAAGTTGTCACTCTTGCTTTATATATGTCTGCTCTCCCAGCACCCTGAGTGTGACAAGGAGTAGGAGTCTAAGGCCTCCTCACAAATGTGACATAAAGGCAAATGAATTCATCAAGAAAAGTGGTCAAAGTCACATCAGAGTAAGTCTTCTGAGGTCACTGTCCCAAGGACCCTTTCCGGAACACTGTGGGAGGGTCTTGCTTTGTTAGTACAGCACCACAAGCTATATGGGGAGCCTGTAATTTCAATCCCCAGCCCGTGTTTAACACCAGTGCTGGTGGGCGAGATCCCACTAAAGTTAGTACAGTAAATAAAGCCGTGAGGCAGCCTCAACCCCAGCCCTCGATGGTAACCCTCAGTAATAGGATTCAGCAGACAGCACTTTAAGTAGCAATGGTAGTTTCTCCCAGTTCTATGCACTTAAGTTTTGAGATCTAGGTACCAATGAGGCTGGGTTTTTGTTTGTTTGTTTGTTTGCTTGTTTTTGTTTTGTTTTTGGTCCTTCTTCATGGTTCATGGATGCTGCTTTCTTGTCATATTCTTAAAAGGCAAAGCAGAGAGCAAGTAATCTCTCTCCTATCTCTCCTGGACAAGTACCAATGCCACCAGGATGGCACCACTGTCCAAGCCGTTACCTCCCATGCTCTGCCTTCAAGCACCACCCTTGAGACCCGAGAGTCAGGACCCGGGCCTTTCTGTGCTTGGCTCTGGTCAGGCAGCCTCCTCTGGGATCTCATTTTGAGCTGCTCTGAGTGATGCTGTTTTCACGGACAACTCAAATGGCATCTTTGTGATGTGGTCACTCTTAGATGTTCTTAATGGAGAGAAACTGAAATTTCAGAGAAGAGTGATCATGGGTTTTTAGGACCACAGGGGCCAATTACGGTCCAAAGATGGAAACCTTGACCCTACTCCGTGTTTAGGCTGCTCTCTCTGTAATTAAAGAGTTTCTCTCTCTCTGTAATTAAAGAGTAAATTACATCCCCAAGTGAGAGCCAGCTCCTGTGTCATCCCTTAGGATCTTAAGTCAAGTCCTTGCTAATGTCCCCACCTTCCCCCATGCAAGCCTACATGCTTGAGTGAGTTGTCAAGGGATGCCTGCATCTGGGGGCTCATAGGCTTTCTATAGTCTTTCTGAGAAAAAGGCCTTTGAGGACACAGAAACAGGAAGTCTTGAGATCCTGGTGGCTTTTCATGTCAATTTACTACCAGCCAGGAACCCACAAGACCATCACATTATCATTGGACAAGATGTAAGGGCTCAACAGTACATCATTTTCTGAAACCATCAGCATGAACAGCAAGCACTCTCTCAACAGGTAGAGTGGTACTAGCTTTGATGGAACCTTATCCCCACATGCAGTAACCAGGGTCCACTGTAGATGACCTCCTCCCCAGGTTGATGATGTAGCATCCTTTAGGGCCTGGTCCACTGGGAAGGGGTTTGTCTGATCAGTAGATGATTCCTGTTGATTCCTCTGTATTTGTTTATTTCCTTTCTTTTTTAAAGCCAGAGCCATTTGTGACAAAATAGACCTTCCCTCAAGGTTGTATTGCACACACACCAGTATCTCTATGTATCTCTCTATCACTCTCTCTATATATAGCCATCTCTCTCTCTCTCTGTACACACACACACACACACACACACACACACACGCACGTGTACGCACACACACATTTAAATACTGTGCATCACTCACTGTTGTAGGTACCATTTCTTTGTCAAACATCTCTTGTTTGATTTATTCTCACACAACTTAAACCAAAGATACCTTATTTCATATTTTACCATCTGTTTGTAGCAGTTTTTGTACGTTATCTTGATTCCTTAAACAATCACTATTAGTTATTTATTCTGAACTAAATTTGAAAACTCCCTGTCAAGTTTCAAGGGTGCTCCTTTGGTGATCATATGTAATGATTTTAAAATTCTACATTCATCCCTTTGTTTGGGTGTTATAGATTCATACACAAGGCCGTTAAAAGCAGAATATGCTCATTTTCTGTCTTTTATACATGGCCATTGTTGTCATAAAGGGAAGATGTCTTTGTGGTTATGTTCTCTCTCACCTCGGGCCAGGAGACAGTGGGTCCACGCAACCATAGGCTGAAAGAGTGAGATGAAATCAGCCCGTCCTCCTATGGGACGGTTTTCTCAGGTACCTTTGTCACGGTGATGGGCAGCTGACCGTCCCAAGCCTCCTTCTATTCCCACATACAGTACCTTGTAGCAAAAGGTGTAGCTTGGAAAAACAGGCTAGTAAGTGCCCAAATGAGGCTCCCTTTCCTTATCAGCACCTATGTCCAATCTACCTTCTTGCCTGCCTGGGGAATGTCCCCGAGACTCTGGGTGGGCCTCCGTGCTGCTGGCTGTGGTCATCCCCAAGCTGCGGACTCTGCCTGCTACAAATCTAGGTCTGACTACAGCACTCCCCGCCAGGCCTCCCCTAGGGATCAGCAGGCTGTGGCTGGCAGGGAGAGTCCCCTGAGGTTTGCAGCCACATGAGCCTCTCCCAAGTCTGGGTTTGGGCATGCATACCTGCCTGCTGCACACAAGTCATGGGAAAAAGGAAACTAAAGGAAGCTGACAGAATTTCTCCAGTCTGCATCTATCCTCCTTACAGTAGGGGGGACTGAGGTCTGGGAGGAAAGGACATGGGGCTTCTAT